CCTCGATACACTTTTAAAACTCGTGATTGTAAGGATGGCTTGTACAAACTATGCATTCGCTCTAAATGATCGTGTAGATCTTTGATAAAAAAATGGAATCTGTATAATGTTGATGTGTCTTGTGCAATAAGAGCTTTGTTTAACATCTTGAACAGAAATGTTTGTCGCGTGTACCTAAAATTCAATCAAATCAATATTCGAGATAATATTTGCGCATAGGTTTTGTTACCAGTGAATCGCGTTGCCTGCGTGATACTCAGTTCGTAATTCTTCGATGTACCTAATTTGAGTGGGAACTGATTTGTATATATTGTAACAATAATCGGCCAACTCCAATTTCGCGTCATTGGTCGACTCGACAGTGAAAAGTAGATCGCGATGTAATTGTGCACAGAGAAATTTCGCTTGGTTTTTCTCATCGGTTATTGTTGACATCGGAAGGAGATTTTTCAATGCTTGCTCTGTATCTTGTTTGAGACGAGTGCATAGAGAATCAATATCGTCGAATATATCTCGAATTTTTTCGCAACGATGAACGAGATCTTGATATTCGGATTTTTTGGAACAGTAGATATAGATCGAGTTCAACTTGGTATTATCGATGATTTCAGTCATGGAAACTAGTTCTTTAGCCAATCGACCGGAGACAATTAAGTAGATTTCTTGATCTTCGATTTGTTTCATGAAATCTTTCGCTTGGTCGATACTATGACAAGTGACTAACGAGTTCACAATTGAACGAAGTTTCTCTTCGGATTCGAGAGTATCGTTATTAGTCCGAATCGTTGCATCCAGCCAAATAAGAACGAAATTTTCCGCTTTACTTTCAATTGTCGGTGTTAGTACGGACGATGCAATTTGTATTGCAGCTTTCTCCTCTCGATTATGTCCAACTAAGGAGAACAGCAGTATATTAAAAATGACTTCCAACCGAATATTCGCGTACCTGTTGGATCGGGGTGGGTGTGCAGTTGGGTCGTGGAGGCTGGTTCGGAAATAGCCGAAGATGGTTTCGTTTGTGGATGTAATAATTGTAGATAACTCGATAGTAGTTTTTGCATTTGAAATTTAGCAGCTGATGATATGTTTTCTAAAAATGAAAAGAAACTGATGGAATTTCTGATCGTAAAGTAGATGCAACTTGCGTTTTTCATCATCTTCATTCTTGATCTTGAGAGTATTATTTTGTATACTCTCCTTTGTGTTAACGTTCGTGGTTTTCGTCTAGATCAATTAACATTCAATGTATTTTCATACGATTTTCTTCATCTCACTTGATTTTTATTGACAACTGTAATCGAATGATCTTTAGGTGTAGTATCATTCAAAGTCATCTTTTGATCAGGATAATTCTCGGTTGGCATTTTCACCGGCTTAGACACAATCACCGGTTGAACATCAGGAGTTGTCATTTCATACGGAATTTCGTTCGGGGTAAAGTCCATCAGTTGATGCGAATGACAACTAATAGAAACTTGATAATAAAGAGAAGTAGAGTAACTCGAAGAGAACTAACATTTCACAGGGGATTCCTCCTGTTATCGATTGTAGTTGGCATGAACTTCGTTGCATTTGAAAATGAGATTGACTCACAAACCCGGTTTCACAACAGACAAACACATGCTGATCGATTATACCATTAACATAAATTGTAATCACAAAATGATGATCGATCAAACGAGACGATCTGAAGGTGAATTCATCTAAAGTAGTTCATCAGTCGTTAGCGATGATGTGTCGTTCCACACGTACCATTAGGTTCCAAACAACCTTTGAATACAGGTCTAGTGCCGTTGGCAGTATGAGATTGAACAATGAGAATTTCATCAGCATGGACTTTGAATGTGTAGGAACCGTTCGCTCTGATCACAGGCGGTCCGAGGTACATCATCGATACTGCACAAGACATGCTAACAGTCATATATTATCTAAAACACTACGAAAGAAAACTAAAAGAAAAAAAATATTTAATTGTTGACTGCTAAAACATTTTTAAGCCATTGTTTCTCTCGAACTGAATTCAATTGTGCTTGATTCTCCTCTAATTCCGGATGATTTTCCGAAATCATTTTCAGATATTCAATCGATTTTTCTGCACACACAGCTGCTTGATCATAGTCACCAAGTCGTTCGTATGCCGTCGACAGATTATAATAGGTAACCGACATTGGTTGCGGTGATGGATTAGGTAGTCGAAGTTGAAGATCTAGTGTTTTCTTATAATATTCTAAAGCTTCGGAAGATTTATTCGTGTTCCAGAGACAACTCGCGATCTTTTGAAACAATGAAATCATCGGTTTAATATTTTCTTCGATGGGCATTTTTTCACGTATCGCTGCCGCTCGTTGCAAGTGTTTAATAGCTTCAGTGTATCTCTTTTGTTCAATATAAACAGAGCTTATATTTGTTGAATATGTAGCCACAGAATCCATATCAGGTTTCGTCGATTTCAGTTGACATTCCACAGCAATTTCGTAGAAATGAAGCGCAAGATCACGTCGATTATCCTGAGTAAACATACTGCCGATATTATTATAAGTAGCGGATAGCATTCGATGGGTAGGCGGTAGAAATTGCTGAAAGGCACGTACAGATTTGAAGAATTGATAACGTGCCGTCGCAAAATCGCGTCGACTTGCATCGACACTACCTATCATATGATGTGCAGCTGCTAAACTTGCTAGCAGCGTTCCATTATTTTCCAGAGATTTATCTTGATAGATCAGTTCCGTGAGATAATCGCATTGGGCATAATGATTCATTGCTAAGAGAAGTCGAGTTAGTTGAAGTAGCATCACGGGTGTTGCTATCTGCTCGCGTAGAGGTTGTGTTATTTGTTGAAATTGAGCATCGTCGCGTGAGATAGATTCCAAACTTATGCTATGTCGGTCATCGATAGAAATGATACGAAAGACAGTGTCGAAATTGATTAAAACATCCGTTTTACAATTTGTATAACGAAATGATTCGATATTTGCTGCACAAGTGGGTTGGAGACGAATGACGAAGAGGACTAATCGTTGTCGGTTTTCGGTTAGCGTTGGACGTTGAAACGTACCGGGAAGAAATGAGCCGAAGGTGACAAGTCCATTGAGATTTTCTTGAAAGTTCCGAATGGTTTCGTCTTCAACATTTAGAACTGTATAAATAGTCACTGTCTCGTTCAAAGCATTCGATTGAATTTGCTTATGTAAACATTCAATGAAATAACGCATCTTAAATAAGAGATCGATTTCTTGTGTACGAAATGTACGTGACAAAATCTTCGAAACAAAACAAGGACGTGTGTACCATTGAATACTATTTAAATTTGTCGATGACATATCAAATTCATCGATTTCACGCAGGACTTCTTGATTATCAGCGTAGTGTAAACGACAGAATGTGAGCATATCTTTCTTCAAATCACTTTCGTGCTCCTCGTGCAGAAGAGTTTCTTTTAGTAGCTGACAATGATTAAATGTGGTATCACTTTTCGAAGTGATTTCGATTGGTATCATTCGCGTTGAGATAATGATCAGCGTGTTCTGTAAATGATCACGAATTGATTCAATAGTCGGATATATGCCAATGATTTTATCGTAATCATTGATCCAGTCGGGTGAATTCATTTGTTTCGACAGTAAGTAAATTGAGTGAATAGATTTATGTTTTTGAAGTTCGGAAAAAACTGTTTGAGCATGATGAGCGGGACTAATAACAATAAACTGTTCGTCGTTCTGTGTTGATAAGAATGCACTGAGGGTGTCTTGATCGTTCAGTACATGGTGAAAGTTTATAGTCGAACGAAGAAGATTGAGATCTGGCGCTTCAGTTTGATCGATATACAGAACAGTAAAATTTTCAACATTCCCCATTCGTCGCTGAGGAATCGTTTGTTTTGATTGATTTTTTGATAAAGCTATGAAAGGGTGAATTTTCATTGGAGAGATTTTTTGTTAAGAACAATGCATACCCTCATTCATAGCATCTTTGACAAAATTGAGCAAAGCCGCTTCATTCTCGACGAATATACTTTTTTCTGACGCCATTTCAGAATTAGTTGATGACAACAGTGCACTGGATATAGACTGAACTGTGGCCGAGATCTTCTTCGGGTCTAAATAAAGAGCAGTTAGTTGTTCGGAAGTAGCAACATATTTGAACTTACCCTTAGCTATGAATGGTAGTGCTGGTTCCACTTCAAGAGATTTCTGTGGGACTTTAGGCTGAGGTTCTTCCTCTTCTTCATCTTCATCGTCGTCGCTACTTGTATTTCCTAGTATCACATCTTCATCGCCGTCAGAGTCATCAGATGAATCTTTACTTTCCTTACATCTAAAATATACTATCGTAGATATTCCTTTGTCGTTTCATTCTGAACATCTACTTTGTGCATGACGTGTATTGCTCTACAGTTACAATCCAAAACGAACTATCTCCATCATCGATCCGTCCACCATGACGATATGGATGCTCACAACATCCGGATATTGTTGTATCGAGATATCCATTGATTTCAAGTTTCAAATGAAACCGATCATCGATCGACCGGCGAGATTTGAAGGTAAATAATTCTGCTTCTTTGAGAAAACCTTTAAATACAATCCAACTTGAACCATCACTACCGAATTGATGAACCATTACTTCATCACGTCTCAGCTGCTGTGAGACAGGAGATGAAGCTGAGTCCGATCGATAGCACATTGTAACTTGACAAGAGCAGGGATTCGTCAATGATTTTGGCCCGATAATGATTCTCTATATAATCCTGACCTTTATAAATCTATATCCTTTTGTACATATCTCACTTGTGGATAAGCAAATTCGCTTGAAGGTTGATTCGTATTCAATGATTCTATGGAACGACTCTTCTTTTTCGTAGATATAGGTACCAAACGATCATCATCATGAAGCGGTATGATTTGTTCGAGCTAAACTCCGATTATTTCATCTCTATCTGACGATAAAACGGAAAAATCTTACTGATATTCTATTCATAGATGAGCGAGGGGTAACCGGTAATCGTCGGAATAATCGAACTGCATCCATTAGTAAAATTAATCTAAAATCAGAATGAAAAATGAACGGTGTTTAAAAGTTTTTTTTAAAGACAAGTTTAATTTGAAGAAAATAGGCTTTTCATCCAAATCTTTTGTTTTAAACGTTCGAGATATGTCCGTTGCATTTGTAAATCTTCATCATCTTCTTTCTTTGTTAGTAGTAGACGACGTATCGCTTCCTCTACTGCTTCTTTCGCTTCCTGCAATCGGCCGAGTTCTTCTAATGCCGTTGCCATGTTATGATACGTCACTGCAACTGTTGGATTCTCCGGCGAATGACACTTCAATTCAATTTCCAGACAATTCTGATAGTTTTTCAAAGCGTCGGCATATTGTTCGGCACGATATTGAGCGCCAGCTAGGTTATGATACTTGACAGCAATGTCCGGACTATTTGGATTCGAATGAAGTTTTTTCTTAATCTTTAATTCGATCTCGAGATAAGGTATCGCCTCCAGATGTCGGTGTAATTTGATCAGAATCGACGAAATATTTCCCGCGTATGTACCGACAGAGTCCATATCCGGATTCGGAGAATTCTTTTGAATTTCATACGCCCTTTGATGATATTCTAATGCTTTCTCATCCTCACCTTTCTTGTGATAGATGCTTCCAATATTGTTATACGTCGGTGTCAGTGTAATGTGATCTTTCGGTAAAACACGTAAGTAAATTTCTAACGAATTCTTCAAGTTTTTCATGGCTTCATCATATAGTCTTCTCTCGTAATAATAGGACCCGAGAGCATGAAGTATACTTCCCAGTGTTAATAATGTTGCTTCATCTTGCATAGCTTGTGAATCTTCAATGATTATCGCATAGAAATATTCCATGTAACCAACTAAATCTTTTTGTTTCATCAACTTCAACATACGAACTGAGGGAAATTGTCCGCGCACAGCTTGACGCAAATCTTTCGTCATGAGTAGACCGGCTTTGAGAATATCATCATTGCTGGTTAGTTTGACGTTAAAAGTTTGTTCGTCGATTGACTCAACTTTATCAATGCGAAACATTGTGCCCATGGTAAGAAGAATTTCGTTGGATTTGTTGGAAAACGAAACTCCTTTTCCAAGAAGAATCTCGAAATGGACGATAGTGGAATTTTTATTCATCGGAGAAGGTTGACTGGTTGATGGTGTTTTGTCCAATAAAACAAACTCATTGAACGAGCATAGTCCACCTTGATTGGTCTTCAATTTTATCGAATTATTTTCCTGAATTCGAAGTGTTCGATAGAGAGTCAATGGATTCGTGTCCACCGTTGACTTAATCTGTTGATGAAGATGTTGAAGGAAATACCGAAGCTTGAATAAAATATCCGGATCTAGCACACGCCATGCTCGTGTCAGCATTTTATGTAAAAATACATCCGAACGTAAGTACCATTGAACAGCGTCGTGTGGCTGAAAATTCTTTTCGAATTCATCGATAAACTTCAACTGAACAACATTCTCGGCATACTCTTGACGACAGAACTCGAGCATTTCCATCTTTAAATTCGTTCTCTCGTCGGGATCTAACAGAATATCTTTCAATGCTTGAACTAAACTAACTGTGCTCATTCCGGTAAAGTTCGAAACAATGGAATTCATATCGGTTAGGTCATAGCTTATAACTTCAAGATCATTTTTCATCTGTTGACAGCAACGAGTGATATCAAGAAAAGATCCGCGGTAAAATTTCGACTCAAATGTAGTCGCAGGTGACGAATCGATGACATAAATCGCACTGAGTAGGGGCTCTTCCTGAATTTTCTCCGCCAAATGTTCCATACTCGCCTTCGAAATGATCAATACGACTTTTTCATGGATAATTTTCTTGAGAAGATCAATGCATTCTTGCGAATTAACATCATCAAAGGTAAAACCCAGATTAATCAAANGCGCATAGTTTTTGTTACCAGTGAATCGCATTGCCCGCATGATACTCAGTTCGTAATTCTTCGATGTACCTAATTTGAGTCGGAACTGATTTGTATATATTGTAACAATAATCGGCCAACTCCAACTTCGCGTCATTGGTCGACTCGACAGTGAAAAGTAGATCGCGATGTAATTGTGCACAGAGAAATTTCGCTTGGTTTTTCTCATCGGTTACTGTTGACATCGGAAGGAGATTTTTCAATGCTTGCTCTGTGTCTTGTTTGAGACAAGCGCATAGAGAATCAATATCGTCGAATATATCTCGGATTTTTTCGCAACGGTGAACGAGATCTTCATATTCAACTTTTTGGGAACAGTAGATATAGATCGAGTTCAACTTGGTATTATCAATGATTTCAGTCATGGAAATTAGTTCTTTAGCCAATCGACCGGAGACAATTAAGTAGATTTCTTGCATGAAATCTTTCGCTTGATCGATACTATGACAAGTGACTAACGAGTTCACAATTGAACGAAGTTTCTCTTCGGATTCGAGAGTATCTCTATTGGTTTGAATCGTTGCATCCAACCAAATGAGAACGAAATTTTCCGCTTTACTTTCGCTTGTCGATGTTCGTGTGGACGGTGCAATTTGTATTGCAGCTTTCTCCTCTCGGTTGTGTCCAACTAAGAAGAACAGCAGTATTTTAAAAATGACTTCCAACCGAATATTCGCGTACCTGTTGGATCGGCATAGGTGTGCAGTTGGGTCGTGGAGGCTGGTTCAGAAGTAGCCGATGATGATTTCGTTTGTGGATGTAATAATTGTAGGTAGCTCGAGAGTAGTTTTTGCATTTGAAATTTAGCAGCTGATGATATGTTTTCTAAAAATGAAAAGAAACTTATGGAATTTCTGATAGTAAAGTAGATGCAACTTGCGTTTTTCATCATCTTCATTCTTGATCTTGAGAGTATTATTTTGTATACTCTCCTTTGTGTTAAATTTCGTGGTTTTCGTCTAGATCAATTAACATTCAATGTATTTTCATACGATTTTCTTTGTCTCACTTGATTTTTATTGACATCTGTAATCGAATGATCTTTAGGTGTGGTATCATTCAAAGTCATCTTTTGATCAGGATAATTCTCGGTTGGCATTTTCACCGGCTTAGACACAATCGCCGGNGTGTTAAATTTCGTGGTTTTCGTCTAGATCAATTAACATTCAATGTATTTTCATACGATTTTCTTTGTCTCACTTGATTTTTATTGACATCTGTAATCGAATGATCTTTAGGTGTGGTATCATTCAAAGTCATCTTTTGATCAGGATAATTCTCGGTTGGCATTTTCACCGGCTTAGACACAATCGCCGGTTGAACATCAGGAGTTGTCATTTCATACGGAATTTCGTTCGGAGTAAAGTCCATCAGTTGATGCGAATGACAACTAATAGAAACTTGATAGTAAAGAGAAGTAGAGTAACTCGAAGAGAACTAACATTTCACAGGGGATCCCTCCTGTTATCGATTGTAGTTGGCATGAACTTCGTTGCATTTGAAAATGAGATTGACTCACAAATCCGGTTTCACAACAGACAAACACATGCTGGTCGATTATACCATTGACATAAATTGTAATCACAAAATGATGATCGATCAAACGAGACGATTTGAAGGTGAATTCATCTAAAGTAGTTCATCAGTCGTTAGCGATGATGTGTCGCTCCACACGTACCATTAGGTTCCAAACAACCTTTGAATACAGGTCTAGTGCCGTTGGCAGTATGAGATTGAACAATGAGAATTTCATCAGCATGGACTTTGAATGTGTAGGAACCATTCGATCTGATCACAGGCGGTCCGAGATACATCATCGATACTGCACAAGACATGCTAACAGTCATAGATTATCTAAAACACTACGAAAGAAAAACTAAAAGAAAAAAAACATTTAATTGTTGACTGCTAAAACATTTTTAAGCCATTGTTTCTCTCGAACTGAATTCAATTGTGCTTGATTCTCCTCTAATTCCGGATGAGTTTCCGAAATCATTTTCAGATATTCAATCGATTTTTCTGCGCACACAGCTGCTTGATCATAGTCACCAAGTCGTTCGTATGCCGTCGACAGATTATAATAAGTAACCGACGTTGGTTGCGGTGATGGATTAGGCAGTCGAAGTTGAAGATCTAGTATTTTCTTATAATATTCTAAAGCTTCGGAAGATTTATTCGTGTTCCAGAGACAACTCGCGATCTTTTGAAACAATGAAATCATCGGTTTAATATTTTCTGCCATGGGCAGTTTTTCACGTATCGCTGCCGCTCGTTGCAAGTGTTTAATAGCTTCAGTGTATCTCTTTTGCTCAATATAAACAGAGCTTATATTTGTTGAATATGTAGCCACAGAATCCATATCAGGTTCCGACGATTTCAGTTGACATTCCACAGCAATTTCGTAGAAATGAAGCGCAAGATCCCGTCGATTATCTTGATTAAACATACTGCCGATATTATTATACGTAGCGGATAGCATTCGATGGGTAGGCGACAGAAATTGCTGAAAGGCACGTACAGATTTGAAGAATTGATAACGTGCCGTCGCAAAATCGCGTTGACTTGCATCGACACTACCTATCATATGATGTGCAGCTGCTAAACTTGCTAGCAACGTTCTATTATTTTCCAGAGATTTATCTTGATAGATCAGTTCCGTGAGATAATCGCATTGGGCATAATGATTCATTGCTAAGAGAAGTCGAGTTAGTTGAAGTAGCATCACGGATGTTGCTATCTGCTCGCGTAGAGGTTGTGTTATTTGTTGAAATTGAGCATCGTCACGTGAGATGGATTCCAAACTTATGGTATGTCGATCATCGAGAGATATGATACGAAAGACAGTGTCGAAATTGATTAAAACATCCGTTTTGCAATTTGTATCACGGAATGATTCGATATTTGCTGCACACGCGGGTTGAAGACGAATGACGAAGAGAACTAATCGTTGTCGGTTTTCCGTTAGCGTTGGACGTTGAAACGTACCAGAGAGAAATGAGCCGAAGGTGACAAGCCCGTTGAGATTTTCTTGAAAGTTCCGAATGGTTTCGTCTTCAACATTTAGAACTGTATAAATGGTCGCTGCCTCGTTCAAAGCATTCGATTGAATTTGCTTATGTAAACATTCAATGAAATAACGCATCTTAAACAAGAGATCGATCTCTTGTGTACGAAATGCACGTGACAAAATCTTTGAGACGAAACAAGGACGTGTGTACCATTGAATACTATTTAAATCTGTCGATGATATATCAAATTCATCGATTTCACGTAGGACCTCTTGATTATCGGCGTAGTGTAGACGACAGAATGTGAGCATATCTTTCTTCAAATCACTGTCGTGCTCTTCGTGCAGAAGAGTTTCTTTTAGTAGCTGGCAATGATTAAATGTGGTATCATTTTTCGAAGTGATTTCGATCGGTATCATTCGCGTTGAGATGATGATCAGCGTGTTCTGTAAATGATCACGAATGGATTCAATAGTCGGATATATGCCAATGATTTTATCGTAATCATTTATCCAGTCGGGTGAATTCATTTGTTTCGACAGTAAGTAAACTGAATGGATAGATTCGTGTTTTTGAAGTTCGGGAAGAACTGTTTGAGCATGATGAGCTGGACTAATAACAATAAACTGTTCGTTGTTCTGACTTGATAAGAACGCGCTGAGGGTGTCTTGATCGCTCAGCACATGGTGAAAGTTTATAGTCGAACGAAGAAGATTGAGATCTGGCGCTTCAGTTTGATCGATATATAGAACAGTAAAATTTTCAACATTGCCTATTCGTCGCTGAGGAATCGTTTGCTTTGATTGAGTTTTTGATAAAGCTATGAAAGGATGAATTTCCATTGGAGAGACTTTTTCTTAAGAACAATGCATACCCTCATTCATAACGTCTTTGATAGAGTTGAGCAAAGCCGCTTCATTCTCGACGAATATACTTTTTTCTGACGTCATTTCAGAATTAGTCGATGACAGCAGGGCGCTAGATATGGACTGAACTGTAGCCGAGATCTTCTTTGGGTCTAAATGAAGAACAGTTGTTCCGAAGAAGCAACATGTTCGAACTTACCCTTAGGTATAAATGATAGCACTGGTTCCACTTCGAGAGGTTTCTGTAGGACTTTAGGCTGAGATTCTTCCTCTTCTTCATCTTCGTCGCTACTTGTATTTCCTAGTATCACATCTTCGTCGCCGTCGGAGTCATCAGATGAATCTTTACTTTCCTTACATCTAAAACATACCATCGTAGATTTTCTTTTGTTGTTTCATTCTGAACATCTACTTTGTACATGGCGTGTGTTGTTCTACAGTTACAATCCAAAACGAACTATCTCCATCATCGATCCGTCCACCATGACGATACGGATGCTCACAACATCCGGATATCGTTGTATCGAGATATCCATTGATTTCAAGTTTCAAATGGAACCGATCATCGATCGAACGGCGAGATTTGAAGGTAAATAATTCGGCTTCTTTGAGAAAACCTTTAAATACAATCCAACTTGATCCATTATTACCGAACTGATGAACCACTACTTCATCACGTCTCAGCGGCTGTGAGACAGAAGAAGCAGCTGAGTCCGATCGATAGCACATTGTTACTTGAGAAGAGCAGGGATTCGTCAGTGATTTTGGCCCGATAGTGATTCTCTATATAATCCAAACCTTTATAAATCTTTATCCATTTGTGCATATCTCACTTGCGGATAAGCAAATTCGCGTGAAGATCGATCCGTATTCAATGATTCTATGGAACGGCTCTTCTTTTTCGTGGATATAGGTGCCAAGCGGCCGTCGCCGTGAAGCGGTGTGATTTCTTCGAGCTAAACTCCGATTATTTCATCTCTATCTGACGATAAAACGGAAAAATCTTACTGATATTCTATTCACAGATGATCGAGGGGTAGGCAATAGTCGTCGAGATAATCGAACTGCATCCATTAGTAAAGTTAATCTACAATCAGAGTGAAAAAGGAATGACGTTTAAAAGTTGTTTTTTTTTAAAGTCAAGTTTAATTTGAAGCAAATAGACTTTTCATCCAAATCTTTTGTTTTAAACGTTCGAGATATGTCCGTTGCATTTGTAAATCTTCATCATCTTCTTTCTTTGTTAGTAGTAGACGACGTATCGCTTCCTCTACTGCTTCTTTCGCTTCCTGCAATCGGCCGAGTTCTTCTAATGCCGTTGCCATGTTATGATACGTCACTGCAACTGTTGGATTNATCTGTTGACAGCAACGAGTGATATCAAGAAAAGATCCGCGGTAAAATTTCGACTCAAATGTAGTCGCAGGTGACGAATCGATGACATAAATCGCACTGAGTAGGGGCTCTTCCTGAATTTTCTCCGCCAAATGTTCCATACTCGCCTTTGAAATGATCAATACGACTTTTTCATGGACAATTTTCTTGAGAAGATCAATGCATTCTTGCGAATTAACATCATCAAAGGTAAAACCCAGATTAATCAAACCGCGTAAGAGCTGCTGTTCTTCATTCGATATTGGTAGATTAGTTTCGAGGATGTAACAGAAATTCTCTACGCTCTTTGGATGACGCGTTCTTCTTGATGATTGAGATTGTATTAATCCCATGCCTAAATAAAATCGACACGAGTGTAAATGAATACGGAGTAACAATCAAAATGACCTGCAAGGTATTGTAACAGTTGTTGAAAATCCACAGTATTGATGGTCTGCTCACTTGTTTCTTGTGCCCCATCATCAGGTTTCTCTTCTAAGATATATATTTCATTTATAGTTCTTGTCGTTGAAGAATGTTTACCTGGTGGTTGTTCGGACTCTTGAACATCTGTTTTGATCGTTGCAGTTTCTAAAGTAAGATGTGGAATTTTGTGAGTTTACCTTTTAAAATAACCTGTTTGTGAAGTTGGCGGCATTTCCTTTTCTAACGATTTGATCTTGTTAGCTTTTGAGGTCTATATTTCAGGGGAAAAGTTGATTAATGTAGTGAGAATTCTTCCATTAGTTACCTTTTTATGTTTTTGCTGTTTGTCGGATGCCGTTGACGAGGTAGTCGGTTGAATAAAATGCTGTGGAGGTTTTTTATTCCTCTAAAATAATATGTTATTCGGACTTCGACGGGTGTTAATAACTGAGCTTACATGGACTAATAACGTATTTTTTTTCGTTATTTTGTAGCAGTTGATCAGCATTTACTTTTCGACATCTAGAAGAATTCTGGATTATCGAAAACACATGAATAAAACATTACTTTTCACACGCTCTGGCATTCTTGATCCTTTCGAAACGAAATCGTCGTTGATGAACATCAACGTTCGTACTTGTTGGCATACATTTGAATTCACAACATTCACTGATAGTGTTCTCCAAATTTCCTTCGACATAGAAAGCCAGAGAGAAGCTCGACATTAATCGTCGTTGAGATTTGAACGAGAACTTATCTTTAAGTAGTATAATAAGAATTGATTCGTACAATGTGTTTTTATGTTTAGATCTACCTGCGTTCTTTAAATATCCTCGATAGATCAACGAAGTTTCGGTGTTTGAATCGTACCGTTGTATAACAGTGATCTCGTCACGGGTGGATGTGTCTGTGCCAATTGTTGACACATACGACATGGTAATTTCACAGGCGAAACGTTCTTCTAGTAGCTCATTCGACTAAAACGAGAGATATATGGAATTAATGTTCATTGACGGATACAACTTACACTTTTGATTTGAGTGCTTTGTTGTTCAGGCTCAAACCGATTTTGATTTACTCTTGCTGAGTGAACTTCTCTTTGTTCATTGACAGTATCGTGATTTTGTATAGGAGCACGTTCGATCGCACTCCTCAATGGACGGCCACCCGTGGGATTAGCCGTTCTGATATATGTTCTCGGTTCTCGCGATTGACTCGTGAGCGTCGGTCGAATTCTCGGAGTTGTCTATTTCGAAAAAACAGTGAGGTTTCGTCAGATAGTATCCGCATTTTTTACCCAATTTGTCGTTGGTACATGCGACTGAGGAAATGGGGAACTAATCAATCGCGGACTTAACCATTGTCGCATCGTTTTGCCGAAAGAACGTTTTTGTATGCAACTTCCTTTTATTGTATGAAACCTACTTTGTTTCGAATCGATCTACCATAATAAATACAATTCCGCGAAACTTTTTTCTCTTTATATAGTAAAACACTCTGGTGTTCTCTCGATAGGAGTAATAAGAAAAAGGATTACTATAGTTACAATCCAACAACTCCTTTCTTTTTCTTCTTTCTCTGCTGATGTTTGCATCAAACACTGTCATTTTGCGTTACGACCATTTCATAAACAATTGTTGAGAAATTTTAACCTTCGAAAGACATTCATATAAGAATATCATTGCATTTGTCAGTATAAATTTTCTTGGAAAAAGAAATCATATGGTGTAGATGATCTACAACGGCTGTGATTGTGATGAGGAAAAAAAAAGTCAAGTGAATTAGTTCTGCATTAACATCAATGATGATGCAAACAGACCTAATTAGAACTACGTTTTGTTTTCGATTGATTTCTTGTCCTTCATGCGCATTCATGACATGCGTCATCATATAAAAATAAACCTACGCATATGCACATGTCGCAGCAGAAAAATGACAAAAGAACAACGACATTGTCATGATTTTGATTCAACAAATTTGTTGATTTGCCGTTGGAATTGCTCATCGTATTGATTTGAAAAAAATTCATATTGTTTCGTATTACATTTCCACTTCGAATTTGTCATCTGTGATTATTTTTCGTTTATATTTCACAGAGAACGACACAGTCGAAAGAGAAATTAGATGAAAAGGTGTAGAGCATGCATAGATTCGTATGCGATCATGTTTTGAGTGCAGAGAAACAACTGCACAGTGATATAAATTTTGTATCATAGCAAGAACGAAAAAAAAACGTATCACATAGTGCATTTTTTTGCTACAGGATGGCTACCGATGACGGCGATGTTGTGTTTGTTTTCAATACGTACGAAGAGTTTCAACAAGAACGAGAGAAATTAAATTATGAAANGAAAAGATCCGCGGTAAAATTTCGACTCAAATGTAGTCGCAGGTGACGAATCGATGACATAAATCGCACTGAGTAGGGGCTCTTCCTGAATTTTCTCCGCCAAATGTTCCATACTCGCCTTCGAAATGATCAATACGACTTTTTCATGGATAATTTTCTTGAGAAGATCAATGCATTCTTGCGAATTAACATCATCAAAGGTAAAACCCAGATTAATCAAACCGCGTAAGAACTGCTGTTCTTCATTCGATATTGGTAGATTATTTTCGAGGATGTAACAGAAATTCTCAACGCTCTTTGGATGACGTGTCCTTCTTGATGATTGAGATTGTGTTAATCCCATGCCTAAATAAAATCGACACAAATGTAAATGAATACGGAGTAACAATCAAAATAACCTGCAAGGTATTGTAACAGTTGTTGAACGTCCACAGTATTGATGGTTTGATCACTTGTTTCTTGTGCCCCATCACCAGGTTTCTCTTCTAAGATATATATTTCATTTATAGTTCCTGTCGTTGAAGAATGTTTCATGTTTACCTGGTGGTTGTTCGGACTCCTGAACGTCTGTTTTGACCGTTGCAGTTTCTAAAGTAAAATGTGGAATTTTATGAGTTTACCTTATAAAATAACCTGTTTGTGAAGTTGGCGGTACTTCCTTTTCTTGCGATTTGACCTTGTTAGCTTTTGAGGTCTATATTTCATGGGAAAAGTTTATTAATGTAGTGAGAATTCTTTCATTAGTTACCTTTTTATGTTTTTGCTGTTTGTCGGACGACGTTGACGAGGTAGTCGGTTGAATAAAATGTTGTGAGGGTTTTTTATTCCTCTAAAATAATATCATTCAGACTTCGACGGGTGTTAATGGCTGAGCTTACATGGGCCAATAACGTATTTTTTTCGTTATTTTGTAGCAGTTGATCAGCATTTACTTTTCGACATCTAGAAGAATTCTGAATTATCGAAAACATATTGATAAAACATTACTTTTCACACGCTCTGGCGTTCTTAATCCTTTCGAAACGAAATCGTCGTTGATGAACATCAACGTTCGTACCTGTTGGCATACATTTGAATTCACAACATTCACTGATAGTGTTGTCCAAATTGCCTTCGACGTAGAAAGCCAGAGAGAAGCTCGACATTAGCCGTCGCTGAGATTTGAACGAGAACTTATCTTTAAGCAGCATAATGATAGTTCATTTATCTTGAGGGTGTTTTTATGTTTAGATCTACCTGCGCTCTTTAAATATCCTCGATAGACCAACGAAGTTTCGGTGTTTGAATCGTACCGTTGTATAACAGTGATCTCGTCACGGGTGGATGTGTCCGTGCCAGTTGTTGAGACATACGACATGGTAATTTCACAGGCGAAACGTTCTTCTAGTAGCTCATTTGACTAGAACGAGAAGTGTCTGGAATTAATGTTCATTGACGGATACAACTTACACTTTTGATTTGAGTGCTTTGTTGTTCAGGTTCAAATCGATTTTGATTTATTCTTGCTGAGTGAACTTCTCTTTGTTCATTGACAGTATCGTGATTTAGTAGAGGAGCACGTTCGATCGCACTTCTTAGTGGACGACCACCCGTGGCATTGGCCGTTCTGATATATGTTCTCGGCTCTCGTGATTGACTCGTGAGTGTCGGTCGAATTCTCGGAGTTGTCTATTTTGAAAAAAGAGTGAGGTTTCGTTAGATAGTATTCACATTTTTTACCCAATTTGTCGTTGATACATGCGACTGAGGAAATGGGGAACTAATCAATCGAGGACTTAGCCACTGTCGCATCGGTGTGCCGAAAGAACGTTTTTGTATGCAACTTTCTTTTATTGTATGAAATCTACTTTGTTTCGGATTGATCTACCATCATAAACACAATTCCGCGAAACTCTTTTCTTTTTATAAAGTAAAACACTGTGATGTTCTCTCGAGAAGAGTGGTAAGAAAAAGGATTGCTATAGTTACAATCCATTGTCTCATTTCTTTTTTCTTCGTTCTCTTGTTGATGTTTGCATTAAACACTGTCATTTTGCGTTACGACCATTTCATAAACATTTGGTGAGAAATTTTAACCTCCGAAAGACATTCATATAAAGAATATCATGGCATTAGCAACATAAATTTTCTTGAGAAAAGAAATCATATGGTGTAGATGATCTACAACGACTGTGATTGTGATGAGAAAAAAAAGTCAAGTGAATTAGTTCTGTTTTAACATCAATGATGATGATGCAAACAAACCTAATTAGAACTACGTTTTGTTTTCGATTGATTTCTTGTCCTTCATGCGCATTCATAACATGCGTCATCATATAAAAATAAACCTACGTATATACACATGTCGCAGTAGAAAAATGACAAAAGAACAACGTCATTGTCATGATTTTGTTTCAACAAATTTGTTGATTTGCCGTTGCAATTGCTCATCGTATTGATTCGAAAAAAGTTCATATTGTTTCTAATTACATTTCTACTTCGAATTTGTCATCTGTTGATTATTTTTCGTTTATATTTCAGAGAACGACACAGTCGAAAGAAAAATTAGATGAAAAAGGTGTAGAACACGCATAGATTCGTATACGATCATGTTTTGAGTGCAGAGAAACAACTACACAGTGATATAAATTTTGTATCATAGCAGGAACGAAAAAAAAAACGTATCACATAGTGCATTATTTTTGCTACAGGATGGTTACTGATGACGACGATGTTTTGTTTGTTTTCAATACGTACGAAGAGTTTCAACAAGAACGAGAGAAATTAAATTATGAAAATACACTTCGAATATGGTATTCTCTGCCATCGGGTTTGCCCAATATTGATAACGAACGAATCAAGAGATATACATCTTTACAACAACGTAAACGAATGGGAAAAGTCTCAGCTTTTGCTATCTACTGTATTTTATTCAAGAAAACCTCTCTCAGAAAGAAAATATCTGCTAAAGGTAAGAATAGAGTTGTGTGAATTATGTCGCTAAAGTATATCTTAGGTGCTCGCATCTGGCATGAGACATTAAATCTTGATTCACTGGCAGATAAATCGCTATTTGAATTTTATGAAGCACTTGCTCGTGTCACGTCGAAATTTGTCGATAAAGCTGAACGTTATGATTCGAAAATCGTTTACGATGAACTTTTCAAAGCGAGTCGTTTAGTTTGGTGGATGGCTGCCTTTCAACTGCAACTAAGCCTACCATTGGATTTTACTGACTCAATGTTCGGTTACAACATGCTCTATCCTTATACGGATGACTTGGTCGATTCGAATGATATACCGCGAGAAGCAAAAAAAGATTTTGCTGATGCATTTCATCAACGTTTACTCTTTGGCGAATCGAACTATGATCCAAAGTCACATTTCAATGGTCAACAATCGAACGCTGACGAACTAGATTTACCACCATCGTTGAAACCCTATGCTGATCGTATTGTGAAGATATTCGACATGGTGAAATTTATTGAAAATGATTGGACGCGTGACGAGGAACACAGTGGAGTCTATATGAGCTTAGCGACTATTCACGATTGTCAAATGAAATCAACGTTGCAACATGCCCGACCCAAAGATGGTTATGCACCAAAAATGGCACTTATTGAAGAGATTAGTGCGCAAAAAGGTGGTGCATCGATAATTGCTGCCGGTTTTCTCATCGAAGGAAAATTGACACGAGCACAAATGGCGTATTTAGAATATGTTGGTTTTGGTCTTCAACTACTCGATGATTTGCAGGTAGATCTAGTTATTTCTGAGGTAAATTTATTTTCTATTTTTCATTCACAGGACGTCGAAGAAGATATGAAGAATAATCATCGAACAATATTTACTCAATCGATTGCTGACGGACAAACATTGGATGCTCCTACAGCTCGTCTAATACAATTTTTATACAGCAAAGAAGTTAATACCAAATTTTTGGACAGTTATCATCCGATATCAGATAAAAGAAATGAACTGGAAATCTTTCGTTATATTCACGATTCCATGACTGTGTTTGGTATAATTCTCATCTTAGAAGCTGCTGGTCGTCTAAAACGATATTATTCGAAAGAATTCTATCGTGACTTGTCCAAGCGTGCGCCAGTAACATTTCGAAGTTTAAAAAAAGCACACATTGAAAAACGTATGTGGTCGGTATTCCGACGAAATTGGTTTTAGCAAAAACAGCTAATCTTTAATCATTTGTCGATATCTATCACACGGTTTTCTTTTTCACTTTTTCCCCTTGAAATATACAGAGAAAGATGATGACAGAGTTTTATTTATTCTGTGAACTCTATGTCGTCGCATTAACATCTATACACAAGAGAAAGTAGACGTACGTCCATTAATATAGAAATACGCTTATGTAATATTTAATGACATAAGATTGAAAACAAGCTTAAAACTTAAAGCATAATTGAAATTTGTTGCATAGAAATTTTCTCAGTTCATGATTGTATACGTATAGGTCTATTATAATACCAATTGCACATAGTTCGGCGAGCAACATGGAAATCAACACAAAAATGGCACTAGTGTATACCACTTGAGTGATGATATTAACGATCAGAACAGCAGACCAACCTGTAACAAACATGATAAACATGAACACCATTTGCCGTAATAATGCAATCTCTCGACGACTAATTTTTGGTAGTTGCTGCTGTTCACGATTGAATTCACTCGTCCATGCTGTGACAATGTTCGGCTGTACGCGACGACCGGATGATCGTACATGAACAAAAATCAAACTATTGAGTATGGTATTAATCAATGAAGGTAATATCACAGCCACAATAAATGTATAGATGCTCATCCACAGTTCATTCATGCATTGCTACAATGAGAGCAGATCAGTAGTATTTAATTTGCTCTCGTGTAATGTTATATCTTAAGAATATTTACTTGTTTGCTTCGAAAGATGAATGGTAATGACAGTATAAATTGTATAATCCATTGAAATGTAATGCATATAGTAATCCATTGTTTGGTTTTAAAGAAAACATTTGTGTGATACAATAAAGAGCAGCAACGATGAACTGTAAATGTTATGAAAGCAAATGGAATATCCATACAGACAATATTATAAAGATAGTAGTAGAAAATACACAATTCTGCTTTTGTGCTATCGAGAAAATTGAGAAAGACAACTGAAGAGAAAACGCAAGTGAGAACGGTAGATATACAGATATTAACGATAAAGGCGTTGTTTTGATGACGAAAACGTCGAATGAATAGTATACAACATGTATATAGTAAGCAAAGAAGCAAAATAATAATGAAAAATATTTGCATGACGAGAGCAAGCGCAGTATAGAGCAATGCCATAATGCTATCAGACACAAATGATAGAAAGGAATGAAGGAGAGTGTATGTGAGCCGTTAAAAGTTCATCAAAAAGAGTGTACTTACTTCTTATTTTCTGAAGATTACAAAACTTATTTCCTTATTACAGAGATGTTATTGTTTGGATTGAACTTTTTTAATTAGGTTCTGTTCGAATGGTGCATCCTTGCCACTGAAAGTCATGTCAAATGCTTTCTTATTTTTAGATACGGGCGAGGATAGGAGGACCGGTTTCAGTACAGCTCTATACGGATATATTGTTGATCAGTTCCTCTAGTATGATATTCGTTTGGAATCAAAAATAGATAGAAATTTTTAATATCAGAGGAATCTTGTAGTCAAAAGAATATGATACAAAAGTGTTTATTAATGTTTGTTGTGAAATAATCTGAACTCGAGAAGGATAGCAACTCGTAATCGTACGCTTTGACAAGCTGTAGGCATCAAACATTAGTATACCATAATAACTGACTTCATTAAGCATGCACTGCCATCCTACATTGTTTCATTATGTATCCAATTTTATAGTAAATAATAACTGATGATCTCGGTGCTCAAACAACAGACCGCAAAAGAAAAATCACACGCAAACGGAATCAGTAACGCAATCTAGTCCGTGAAAAGGAACGTCTGTATGGTTATTAGCTGTTGTATCCCATGAAAGGCTAGTCGAATCTACTGTATACAAGAAGATTGATGTCACACCAGTGATAATACAGTAAAAGCTCTATATGTGGGCACTTTTGATAAATCCGATTAGCGTCCGTATTAGAAAGGTTTAACTGTATTATGTCGAATGTCGTTGGTTAAGTTTGGGAGTAACCAATCAAAGACAAGATATTTCTTGATACGATTCATTTGTGGACTTGTAATGACCGCAGAAGTTCACATACATGTTACTGACGTTAGTTCGTGTGAGGAAAGTGAATAAGTTTTACTTTTAATGCGGAGGTTTATATTGAATCAACGACTGAATAATGTAACGTCATCGCATTGCTCATGGCAGCTCAGTGATCGACAATTGTTTTTGCGATCATATATACTTCGTTGTTTCTCATCGAATATATGACAATTTATCTAAGCATGCTGTCAGCAAAACATAGATAAAGTCTGTTGATATGAATCAAGCAGATCTCTAGTTAGTTTCGTTTCAACGTATACATTATTATCAAATGGACTAGCAAAATGACAACGTAAACTTTGTTTCAATATTGCAAACAAAACAAATTAGTACACACATATTAGGCACACGTTAAACAGATTTTCAAACTGTCTGTCTTCTTGAAATCAATAGATTTCTAAAATTTCTATCCAACGTTACATGCGAAAGGAAGCCATCACAGGATAATGATCAGAAAGAAATTCAGTTTGTTCATTTTTTAACACGCTTGCTTCTGTCAATTTGTCCGTTAAGTTCGTCGTTGCTAATATATAATCCAATCTCATTGATAGAGCATGCATCGGATCTATATCTAATTTTGTCGGAACACTTGACTGGAATGTACTTGATTTTTGAAGAGTATCCATGTACCCTTGCTGAATGAAGTGCTGAATCGTTGTGTAATCTATTGAGTTACCGTCAGAAGTTAAAAACTTTGCTTTTAACTTGTCAGTAGTCGTAAACTTCTGTATTTGTTGATAATGTGCAGAGTCGGATTCTGATAATGAATTAAGATCTCCACCGATGATCCAATCCTTCGAATCCTGTTTTTCAAGTTGATCAACAATCAGTTTCGCTTCCATCGTTCGTGCATTTGCTGAGTGTGGATTCAAATGTGTGCCTACCAAACCAATCTTTGTTTGATTATCTAGATTTACATGAACTAGCAGAGCACCATGATGCATACCATGTCTGATTTGAGCAAGTTCAAACAATGGAAATGATGACGAAATACCCAGATGAAAACCGGTCGATGCGTTGAGAAAGACACTGTAAGAATGATTCCATTGTGTGGCAAAATTTGAAAACTGTAAACTATCAAAATGATTTAACTCAGTGAGAATAACTGCTGTTGGATTTTGACTTTTCAAATAAGCAGCAATCGCATTGAGTCGGTTAGATTCAGAAGTGTCAATCCCTCCTTCGAAAATATTGTAGGCAACAACCTTGAAATCACTCATCAGAAACGATTAGAATAAAATTTGATAAAGAAGAACACCAATCCAATTTCAAAGCATCTTCGATAGAGGTCATCCAATATCAATATGATGAAATTTCGTGATTATTCATTCTCAATGTGACTCATTTAACCCATATATATGTAGAGCAACATGGCAAAACGTGTAGATGACAAAAATATGAACGAGAGCTCAACAGCTGTTGCTGTTAAAATTTCTTCGAACCAAACGACACACAATTCTGGTGAATCATATGATGAACAACTATTGAAACGGAGCAAGAATGTGGATTTCGATGTAGAAGCTTGGTACAAAATCATTAAAAATGAAACATTTCATACGAAACTTCTTCCAATATCTCCATCATTAGCTCAAGCTTTCGTTAACTTCTATCAAACACGTTTCATGCTGAAAACTTCCTTAACTCTGCACGATGTTGAACTTATCCAGTCAATGCGGCATCAATTGAAAGAACAGATTTTCAATTCGAATCATACATTTTTCATTCGTCTAAGTGCTCGAAGTCCAAAAGATGGGAAACCTCTCGATTCTGGAAAGATCGGTGAATTTTATCAGGAAAAACTAAGTGAATTACAAGCGAAATATCCGAATGAATATCAAACAACCAAAGGCAAAGCAAATATCCAAACTATTGCACTTTACTATGCGCAGTTTCATTCGTTGAAAGTAACTAATGAAGACCAAGCATTAAATTTGATTTTT